AAAAATCGTGATAAAATCGAGATCACAATAATATAATCAAAAAATCGTGATATTTTATTTTTGCCATATCACCCAGCCCTAGGTTGAACCATCGGCCAGTTTAAGCTCAGCAGAGGGGAGTGATGCTGAGGGACATGGAGGCAGCACAGCTTCCAGGTCAGAACCATCCAGAGCAGATCCCAGCCTACAGAGTCAGACTCTGAGGATGACGGCTAATAGACCATAGCAGCCCTGGTAGAAAACACAAGACTTACTACGCCTCTGGTACACATAGTACAGCCAGTTATTAGTCAATAAGTATAAATTAGTATATAACACTTTAAATGAAAAGGATTTTCAAATAAATCGATGTTACAAGAAATCCTATATTATATTCTTAAAGCTAAAGCTAGCATCTCCACCCATCCTTTACTACCAGGTTCTTCACATCTTAGCTTTGGATCATCATCTGTAACAGCAGGAATCTACGATTTAAGCTTAACATCAGCCTCTAGTTCTTTAATGAATATCTTTAAAGTTTCTCTTATCTCCACATGAGCTCGGCTCGGATGTGGAGCTGGAAGTGGAAGCACTGGGAGCGACATTAGCGGGTTCTTATAAGAGTCGTCTGGCTCAAACACTGGCTAATTTTCTCTCTCCTCTGGAGGAGACAAAGCAAATGCTGAAATCTACTCACAGTAAATATTCACTGAACAACCAAGCGACTCTTTCAATGAGGGAACAAAATAAAAAATGAAAAAAAAAAAAACATGTCCTTATCAAAATGTTCCAAGCAGTGGAGTTCTCCAACTCCTCCCGATCTCATCTGACCTGCTTCACTTAAATTGGAAGGAAGCTTAAAGAAGCCGACGGCATCCTTATAGGCATTGAAGCTAAAAGCTGCGACCTAAAACAAAGTCATCCATAACTAAACCGCCGTTCCAGCTCATTCTCCTTTAAACGTCACTTCCGTTTTCTCCCCCAGTCACTGAGCAGCGCTACAGTCCTCTAAATGGCAGCAGATTCTGATTAAAAACTATTTCATTGTCAGGACTCCTGTCTGTGTGTTTGTGTTTGTCTCCCTTCCTCCACCAGGAGGCGCCTGGTTCTGGTCCGCCTCCTCACACACCTGCTCATGGTTTCCTCATTAAAAGTGTTCTTAAGCTGCTGACTGCCACTACCTTGACGCCAGTGTGTTTGCCAGTTTTGGGTACTCTAGCCAAGCTGAGTTTTGCTGAGTAAAAACTGAGTTTTTGTCAACCTGAGTTTTAACATTGTTTTGTCTTTGCCACTCGGCAGGAAGTCATCCTGCAAACTGGATTTTTCTGACCTTCTCTCCCTGGAAGGATCAACTGAGCTTCAAACTGAGCTGGGGTTCAAACAGGAGGTTTGGATCCACTTTCCCCAAAAGGTTGTATGAGCTTCACACTGAGAAAGGGAATAATCTCCACTACGACCCGTCCAAGTACCACAGGAAAACTGAGTGGCAGTCAGCTTCTCCGTTCACCTACCAACAACCGCATTCTGGGTAAACCCTGTTCCGCCCTCCACCGAATCAGACAAACACTGGAAGTACCGCATACAGACAGAAGTCAAAGATTTAACAACTTCTCTGGAAACGTGAGTCAGCAACCAGATTCTCTTCTCCAAGTTTACGAATCAAATGACCCACTAAGCCTGAACTAATCGCTGTGTCTTCCCCTCACTTTTCAGTTCAGGTTGAGCAGTGTTCAGAGCAACACTGCTCCTTGCATTATCTCTTCAATAAAACCTGTTAAACATTTTTCTCCTGGTCTCTCTGAATTGGTTTCTCTGCATGTGGGTCTGAGCTTTAGATAAAATCATGACATTCATGAAATTATTACATTGAGCATCGATATTAATGTTTGTCTGCACAAAATACTAGAAAATGTCCATATCATGTCATCAACACTGTAAGTGCTGCATTTTAGCTTCCCGTTATTCTAACTTTGAGGTCCTGCAGTGAGCAAACAGAGCCAACCCCAAAGAAGCCCCAGCACCCAGAAACATGAGCCCACACGGCACCTACTTCTTCTCTAAGCTCTGCTTCTCTTTGCTTATTTCTCCTAACCGCTGCTCCAGGTTATCACAGCGCTCCAGGGTCTCCTTGAACTTCGCCTTCATGTTGTTGATCTGAGGGTAGAAAGATGGAAAAGAACAGCTCAGACCCAGAACCCAGAACCTGAACGGGAACAGATGCAGGGAGCGTGGCTACCTCCTCGGCCGTCTCTTTCTCCAGATGAACAATCTTGTTCTCCCAGTAGATCCTCTGAGACTCCAGCTGACTGGTCAGCAGGTAGGAGTACTGCAGACAGAGAGAGCGGTGGGATCTTTCTGAACCCATCAGGGGAACTAGAGCTCATTTTAACGGCTTACCTCTAACTGGAGGGCATCTATTTTCTCATCTTGGCAGGTCTCCCCTTCACACTCGAACTGGACCATCTTCCCATCAGTCTTGCTGGCCACCAGGCGGTGCACATAGTTATCTACATGACGACAGTTATACAGATGTCAACAAAGAAGGACAGATCCACACTTTCATCCTGAAATATTCTGTTTTTACAGGTCATCACATCTGCAGATTTATTTCATTTTCTTTTTTTGTGTATTTCTTGGGGGTAATTCTTAATCAGGGTTTATACAGGAAGGAGGAATTATAATTTAATACTTTTTAATGCTCTTTTAGTGCTCTTAGAAAAAAATAATAATGCCATTAATAAGTACCCATTACTCTCTCTATAAATAAACATGGCCAAATCCTTTGTAATCTTTACCATCAACAGGCTGCAGCCATATCCCGAATTTCTCGTTTTCCAGCCGCTGATGTTAAAATTAGCATTTTCCCCATTCTCTAGTGTTGGAATAATTATGTATAAGATACTTAATGTTTGTTCTTATGATGTATAATATGCGACATATTACTGTTCCAGAGAGGTGTTGCACAAGCAGTATAGGTCAACTATCAGGAAGTATTGCTCAAGCTTAAAACCAGGAGGTTCTTGGACCATTTGACCGCAAGACATTTAAATGCAAATTGACTTGTTTACTGAGGCTGCAGATTGAATTGTATTTCTTGTTTCCTATTACTTTAGTGCAACCTCAGCTTGTGAAACTAGGGACCCCCCCTCTAACTTTAATAAATAGCGAGGAGAAAGCTGAAGACTGGCAGAGTGGGTTAGAGATTTGTAAACTCCGCAGTCTCTTCCTACTCTTCTCGCAAATAAAACTAAATTAATTGTCTCTGTGCCTTCTTTCTTTCCCTGTATGTATGTATGATGTTTTAGGTACTTAGACCTGACATCTAGCTTTTTCTGTGCCTTGAGCTTCTGTTCCGAACATATGGCTTTAGGATCAACCAGGAGCAGTTCCACGCAAACACGTGGAACCAGTTAAATCTGATATATTTAACAATTTTTATTTTCATAAAGCATTTTAAATGCCATGATAATCCCCTTTAACAAATCTTAATGCCAATTAAGGCCTTAATTTAAAAAATAATAATTTAATGACTTTTAATGACCCGCAGAAACCCTGTTAATGATCCCACAAAAAAAGGGAATGAAGGATATTTCAAATAAACTTCAGGAAACTAAGTCAGTGTTTAGATCTGATCAAGGCGCCTCCACGGCTTCCTGAATCTCTTTTACAGGAATCCCAAAGTCTTTTGTCGAGGAGATGCCATATTATAAACCAATCTAACTTACTAAGCTTAATAATAATTTCACCTGTTCACTTTCTGACTTGGTACGGCTGCAGCTAGTGGACCCTAAAGATGATGAGGATCAAGATTTTGTTCTCGTCTCAAAAAAAAAAAAAAATTGTTCATTTTTTAATTGATACGGAGGAATTGTCAGTAGGCTGTAGGAGAAGGCATCTCTATCCCATCATCATCCAAAGGAAGCAGGATGGTAGGAGAGGTGAAAACCATCTCCAAAAACTCAATGTTAGTAAAAATATGGGGTCATCAAATCTCCACAGTGACCAATAGAAGCGGTCTACAGCAGAACTAAGGTAAAAATCAAAGCCTTCTCTTCCCTAGCATCAAAAAAGGACCCGTGTCTATTTTGCCAAAATCTACAGAAACGTAAAAATGAACGCTGAGCTTTACAGCGGCAAACTCCCCAGATGTGTTTGGCATCAACTAAAGAATATTTAATAACACCTCTGAATCCCTGTTGTGGGAGACCGGTGGTGCTGCAGGCATGTTTTTACCCTTGCAACTCTCAAAAATACACCTAGCCAGAAGGCAACAGATGCATTAGTCTCAAAAAGAGAAATGTTTGAAATAATGACCTGCAGTGACGTCAATAATGAGCAAAAGCAGAACAAACATGGCTGCTTCTGTAGTTTCCGCTACTATTCTGTTTTAGTTAAAATAACCTACATTTCTTTCATTAAAAACAAGCACACTGATACAATATGTTCCTTCGATGATGAGAAAGATGTTTGCTCTTTCCTTCCATCCGAATTTGATTACATTAACTCTGCTAATAAATCAAGACGCTACAGAGAGATCCTGTTGTTATAGTCGTGTTTCTTTTAGTCGCCCTCATGGAGGACTAAGTGGCTGAAGATGAAAAGCTGGCAGTAATGATGCAAAAGTAGGTGACAGTGATGAAAAAGGTGCTCAGCAGCGATAAGCAGCTGGTATTTGTCAGTCATGGCTGCTCAACTCTAAACGGAGAGACGTGTTCAGTGAGATGTACCAGGAAATCATTGGTGGAACTGAATGAAGTGTAAACAACATACAAATGATAAGTAAATATAAAACAGAGCATATGTCACAGCTGCTACTGCTGCTGTGATTGGCTAAGAGCTCGACATGTAAGGAAGGTGCTACTTGGTGTTTTAACCAATCAGCTTAAAGAACTGTACTAAATGTTCCTCTCTTTAGTAAACACTTTCCACTGGAGCCTTTCAAAATATTGATCTGGTTTATGAAACGTTAAGTGCTGATTATCCTCCCGCAGCAGTGTGCCGCAGTGAGCTGGTCGCAGGATATTTTTGATTTATGCCGAACTTGCTCTGTGCTATGTTATTCAACGCCACAACACAAGAGGGACAATCAGGAACTAGCTGTGGGTCTAAATACGGCCGAGGTGGTGAGGAAGTGGGGGCAACTTTGTGCGACAACGGAAGGACAGGGAAAAAGAGCGGGGATCCAGGTGGAAAAAGGGTCCCAGCGTTCTGGTGCACTTCGCTCTTTTAGCTGGTCTATCTTCAGGAGTCTTTTTCCACAATAGCGGTCATAAAAACATAACAAGCCGGTAAGGTAGCAAACAGGAAATGCGCAGAGTAGAGTGGATGAAGATTTGACCAATCACAGGCCTACTGTCTGTGGTCACCTACAATTTCAGAGAAGTGCAGCAGAGTGTCTGTGGAGAGGGCGGGGGCACATCTGCGTTAACTGCGACACATGCGCAGACGATCTGCTCTGTATATAAACCAGCCTTTAGGCCTGTTTCCCATCTAACAGGTCAAGAAATCTTGTAAGAGCTTCATGAAAATCCAATAAAACAATACGATGGACTCATTTACTGAACTGGATTGTTATTGTATCTTTAAAGTCGTAGGGAAGCGGCTGTTCCAGTGGTTGCATTTCCGAATTCTCTTGAGTGGTGCCCGACTTTACACGAGTGAATAAAGTGAATGTGATTGGTCGATTATCAAGGGGGCGGGATTGTTGTGGTGGAAGGTTTCGCAAGCAAGTTTGATTGTGGGCGATTTGTTGGAAGCATCTTGCTAACCAGTTAGCAACTTAGTGCTAGTAGGTTCCCAATGGGAAATTCCATTGGGACCAAGTAGCACTAAATTGGTGACTTGATATATGATTGGCCCAATTTATACTGATGTATAACTAACTGGTCTGTATAAGATAACAAAAAATAACAAAAAAACAGATTTTAAGACAGGATTTTTTTTTTTTTTTTTTAAACAGAAATGTTCTAAATTTTGGGACGATAACGTCTGATAAAGAGTACATTTATATACGTGTTTAAGCCAGAATGATTTGACATTTAAAAATGATTTCCCTACAACTTTGAACTAAAGTGGAATCAGTAATTGATGAACTTATCAGCACAGAAATGATTCAGCAGCCTTCCTCAGTCATCAGAACTGAAACCAAAGGAAACGTGTTCTTTTATAGTGAGTAAATAGGATAAATTGATATATAATAGAAGAGAGATAAAAATTTTCTGACAACAATGGTCAGGAGAGTCTTTTTTAAATGGCTCAAAAAGAGTTTTAGGAACTTTGCCACTGCTAATTTGTTAAAAAAACAAATTCGTTTTCAACAAGATTATTTTATTTACCATAAGGATTTTTTTTTTCAAACTGATGGTTGCAAGGGGCGCTCAAAAAATGTAAGGAAAAAAGTGGCAAAAAGTTTTTTTTCTCATAATCCTTTATATTTTGCAACAAAATTATCATATATAAGGCGTAATAATATACTAACACTTATCTAAGAGGCTAATTCTGTCATAAAAGATTACCCCATGGTTACAGGGAACTGACATGTTCCCTGTTAGAGGCTCCGATAAAAGGTGAACTCATTTTGGCTTTTAAAAAAAACTACTGCCTTCATCTGTAGGAAATAAACAGTTTCATCAAAATAAATCTGTTTGGATTAATAGTTTATATAAAATGATAAAAAAGCTCCTTCATGTCCTGTGATGTAGAGAATAAACCCCGCTCTTCTACCAAAGTAACTGATCGACCCTCTTTATACGACCAGCCCAGCACTAAAACAAACAACAGGCGGATAATACGCATAGCAGCTGTTGAACCTGATACTTTCCCACTGGTTGCTGGACATTTTGGCGTTAGCCTGTTTTTCAAGTGAAACGAGAGACATCTAAAGACCCACGGTTCCTGGACTCAAGCAGCAAAATCTGAAGAGCTGTTAAAACTAAAGAGAAACATAAAACTGGACTCATCTGCAGTAGAAAAAAAAAGGAAAATATGAGGGAGGAGCAGAAAGATTGCTGTAACATGTGGACAAAGAAGCTACCATAAAAACCACAATAGATTTAATCACGCTTAGTTGCACAAAAACTACAAATCAAACACTTAAACTCATCGCTGACTTTTTCAATGTTTTTTTTCAAAGCAGCATTTGCTAAAAAAAACAAAAAAAAAAAAATTCTCCTTCTAACAGGAATCTTTCAAACAGACGGCCAGCCTTCGATTGCAAAAACAAAAAAATGTCACTTCTTGGAAGCTCATCCCTGCAGGGAAAATGGTTGAGATTTTTTAGAGAAAACAGGTGAATTCATTAAAGACGAGTTTCTCAGTCAAACAAAAGGATTTTCAGCCAAGAGGTTTGATAGAATCTTTGCCTCGAAGCAAGAAACAACGGTTTAAGAGATATACGCAGCAGTGAGTCAACAGCCAGACCATCTAGGAGATATTTCAGAGCAGAACTTTAAGAATGGAAGCAAATTAATTAATTAAGCAGCATTCGTTTTCACTGCGAGTTTTTTTC